ATTCTATAAAAAGAAACGCCACAGTTCGAGATTTAGCCCACACTCGGCGGCCATATTTGATCCCCACCGCGGCGTACTGCTCGTGGCGCCGCGAAGAGAGAGAGGAGGCTCCATTAGTTCTAAACTCCTTGCCTTCGCCCCTCTGTAGGAATAAATACCGCTGCGGTGTGTGAATTGTGAATCCTCACCTGTGCAGTCTCGTTTATTTCTGCTTGTGGTTTACTTCAGTTAACCAGGTAAAGGGTATTTTTTCAGTACGTGCAATTATTTACTCTACTATTTTATTCGTGTCACATGTATTCACTGACCATTATATATCTGCACCCCTTTAATAAACAAAAACATTCTTACTTTTACATGTATGCAGTGGGTTAGCTTGGTGTGTGCATACGCCGTGTATTTGTGTTTGTCTGTGGTTTTTCAACTTGCTGCATCATTTACATGGGCTGTATAATATAGAAAAATACATGTACTTGAAACAGTAATAATATATGGAGGTAGGGTAAACGATTCAGCTAACTTCCACTGCACGCACGCGATGTTGACAATAACAAATCGATGGCTGTTATATCCCAGCCAAGGAGTACTGTATAGTACTCCTTGATCCCAGCATAAAATTGCATGTCGTCAGCAGCAAGCTGTTAAAAATGTACTTATTCGAAATGTTGAATAAGAAAGAAAGAAAAAAATACCTACTGAAATACAGTTGTTGAAAGAATGAAATATTTTTTCTCTCGTGTACAATTTTGTTTTCTGGTCTCTTAGTATATTTTATTATATCAGCTCGACGATGTATTTTTTGTTATTCGCTCTTGTCACAGACATACACACAAACCGATAGGCTGGGCTACATGTATTGACACTGCTTGAGGAGATGTGTGTACAGACGGTGTTTCGATGTTGTCCAAACAGAAAATGTTCATATTTCTAACTCCAACGATCTACCCTTCTTCCGTTGCTATTGAAACGTCATCCCAAAAGAAACAAACTTTGTGTGCGTGCGCTGTGTGTGTGTGCGTGCGCTGTGTGTGTGTGCGC